CTCACCTCGTCCCCATCCTCGCTCTCCTCCTCGCTGCTGGACTCTGAGGAATCGCCACCCTCCTCTGATGAGTCCCCGTTGTCGTCGTCGTCGTCTTCGTCTTCATCATCATCATCCTCATCCTCTTCATCGTCGTCGTCGTCCTCTGACTCCTGTTGGGCGCATTGGGGGGGGGTTGGTGATGGGTTGGTGGGGGGGCAGCTGTCCTTGGCCACCAACCATTGCCTTCCCCCAGCCACAAAGCAGCAGGAGATGGCTCCCACCCCGCTGGGCTGGCAGGCTTTCCCCATTTATGCCACCAACGTCCCCCAAAAGGCCCTCGGTGCTGCCACAGATGACAGCGGGGTCCCACTGAGCCCTGAGGGTGGGTTTTTGGGCACAGGTTTGGGAAGGGCCCACGTTTTTGCTGCCCCGAGGGATGGGAAAGCTGCAGGAAACACCAGCATCACCCTGAGATCCTCACCCAAAGGTGCCCCCAGCCCAGAACGGCGCGGTGCTCAACTCACCGACTTGGACTGCATCGTTGGCTTCATCTTGGGGTTGGGGCCCCGGATCTTCCCTATGCTCTTGCGTTTCTGCAGGGGGAGGGAAGGAGGAGAAGCGCTCTGAGCAACGCGTGAACCCAGCACTGAGGAAACCCACGGGGCTGTGAAGCAAAGCCCCCCAATGCGGCGCTGCAGAAGAGGCTCCCACCCGGCTCAGGACCCCCAGCCTCACCCCACAGCAGGACACTCACATTGGAGGTGTGTTCCTTGTAGGCAGCCCGCTCCTGGGGCGAGAGGCTCTGCAGAGACAGAGGGGAAGCTCACATCTCACAGCTGCAGCACGCGGTTCCCCATCCCAGGGGATGCTATGAAGGCACTGAACGGCCCCCCGTCCCACGGGCAGAGCGAGCATCTCGGGACGCAGCCGGGAGCTGTGCCTCCTCCCAGCACTCACCTTGAGCCAGATGTCGAGGTGCACCTTGTACTGCTTCTGCTGCTCCTCTGCCAGCTTCTTATAGTGATCCTTCTGGCCCTGCGAGATGCGCTGCCAGCGGCTGCCGATCTCCACCATCCGCTCCTTCAGAGGGAGGTGGTTCAGCTCCCCGTTGGACAGCAGCTCCTGGGAGAACTTCTGGTAACCGTTCCTGCAGGAGGGGCAGGGAGCTGAGCTCAGGTGCTGCGTCTCAGGGGGGGAGCTGCCCCCTCCGCATCCAAAGCGCAGCTTCATCAGCCCAGCACGCTCAAACGATGCTCCCCAGCCCCGTCCAGCTCCCCCAGGCTCCCCGGTACTCACATGGGGGGTTTCTTTGGCTCTCCCTGGAACTTCACCTTCTTGGCAGAGTTGGTGGAGCACGGAGGAGCCCTCATCTCGCTCAGCTCCCTCTGGGCAGCAGGAGAGAGCGGTCAGGGGACGCGGGCAGCACCGGGGCAGGGTGTGGGGAGGGGGCAGGGTGTGGGGAGGGGGCAGGGACGCACCTCGTATCGCTTCTGATCCTCCGCCGCCTTTTTGATCCACATCAGCTTCTCCTTCTTCTCCATGTTGTTCCAAGTGGCCTCCATGGCTTTCAGTGCCTTCCCCCGGTCGTTCTGCAGCGCAGACCCAGTAACATCATTGGTCTCACCCAGGACATGTGGGCTCTGTCACCAACCCCCCCCCCCCCCCCCCCCGGCTCCTCTCCCCACCTTAAAACGTGCCAGGTAGTCCCCGATGACGCTCTGCTGCCAAATCTCCTCGGCTGTTTTTGGGGACTCGGGCAGCTTCCCACGTTCCTCCTTATCAGAGCCGTGCTTCTTCTCCGACTGCGCCTTCATGGCTGCCTCCCGTGCCTTGTACTTGGCCTGGGAAGGGGCAGATGGGGGATGAGAGGGAGCACCAACCCCCGCACCGAGCACCAGCAGGGGCTGGGATGCCCTTCCCCAGCGTGCTGCAGCCCCCCACCACACACAGGTGTCCCAGGGCTCCCTGCCACCTTCCAGCCTTCGAGCCGAGGCCGGGGCTGACATGGAGGGCTGTGATGGGTATGGCTGTGACACCCCCAGGGACAGCATTGTGCAGCCCAAGAGGAGCGAAGCCCCTGGGGGGGACAGGCGGTGCGCTGTGAGCTGGGCTGCGTGAGATGGGGTTTGGGAGGTGGGTTGGGGATGTCGCCCACCTTCTTCTTCTCGGAGAGGTCGTTCCACATGCGTGCCAGCAGCCGGGTCAGCTCGCTCTCTGACAGCTCCGGCCGCTCCTCCTGCAGCTGCTTCCGTTTCTCCTCCGAGAAGATGAACATGGCTGAGATGGGCCGCTTGGGCTTCTCGGAGCTGGCCTGGGGGCACACGCAGTGTGGGTGAGTGAGCAGACGCTGGGCGCCAGCAGCCCCGTCCCACATCCCCAGCGTGGCCCCATCTCCTCCCGCCACCCCTCACCTTGCCGGTCTCCGGTGAGGACTTTTTGGATGCGGGACTCGTCGCCCCTTTCCGATTGCTGCCCAACATTTTCTCCTCTCCCAGCACCCGCTGCTGCTCCTCCTCGGGCAGACTCTGCACACAGACACAGATGGGCTCAGAGAGCTGCAGGCCTGACGCTAACGAGGCATTCACACAACTGTGGACTGCTGAGCAGGAAGCAAAGCTCTCAGCTGGCTGCAGAGGCCACAGCTTGTGGAGCGGGAGCTGTGCTGAGCCCAGAAGCCAGCCAAGCGCCCATCCCGGGGTCCCCACACCCCATCACCCCCTCACAGGGCACCGTTTCTCCTCCCCAGCTCCGTCCCCCCCCCTTCCCCACTGTCTCATCTGCTTCCTGTCAGCCCAAGCCCTGCAGGGCAGACCGGCGCGTGGCTCCGGATGGTTTTTCCGCCCTGTGCCCTCACTGCAGCCACGTCACATCCGTCAGGGACAAACGTGGTGCTGGGGGGCCCAGGGCAGCTTCCCACTCACGCACACACCCCCACATTCTGACTGAGGGAAGGAAGCGAGAGGCCGGCAGCGCTGCGCTCGCTTCCCCGTTCGCCAACCCCCGCAGCATCAGCTTCCTCCCCATGCTTGCGTTCGAGCACCGAGGCAGCTGGGCGCAGCACCCAGGGATGCCACTCACCTCCAGGAAGCGCAGCAGCTCGATCTCGTAGTCTTTCTTTTTCTGGTGGGAAAGGGAGATGCGGGGTTACCCAGGGATCCTCCCACCCCGCCGCTGCCGACCCAGCCTACAGCGAAAGCACCCTCTGCAAGCACCACGTGCTGCCCCACACAGGCAAACAGAGCACAGGGGAGGTGAGCAAGGACCCCGCTGCCCCCCGGCCCGCAGCGCTCACCTGGTCACACTTTTTGTGGTACGCGTCCTTCTCCTTCTGGGAGAGCAGCTTCCACTGCTGGCTGCACAGCACCATCCGCTCCGTGCTGGGCACATCTTTCATGTTGGCCATCAGCTCCGCGCAGTACAGTGAGTAGCTATTCCTGCAAGGGATGCAGGGGGATGGCATGAGGGACCGTGGCTCTGGAGGGGCGCCTGCAGCCTCCTCTGGGCTGCGTGAGGGAAGTGCTGAACCGGGTAAGGAAAGCGTGAACCGGTGCGGCTGGATTGTACCCACAGCACTGCCTTAAACCTTGCTGAGACCCTCTGTGAACTCTACAGCTCCTTAAAGGGAGCTCATAATGCAGACCCGATGGTGCCCAGTGCCACGGATGGGCCCTGGGAAGTTTGATGCAGCCCACGGCAGGGGGGGCTTCAAGATCCCTTCCAACCCAACCAGGCTGTGACTCCGTGACCATCGGTGCCACAAGCAGGCGACGCGGTGCCCCCAAAAGCGGGGCCCAAAGGCAGGCAGAGCTCCTGCTGCCTCCCCCCCGCAGCACAGAGCCCAGCTCTGGGCACAGCACTCACGGAGGCGGTTTGGTGGGTCGCCCGTCGAATTTATCCTTGAGCTGCCGCTCAGCCTTGGTGAGTGTGGAGCGGGTGATGCCTTCCTCGCTGAGGTTCAGCTCGGGGTGCTTCTGGATGTAGTCACGCATGATCTCCTGTGAGGATGGAGAGCAGTCAGCAGAGCACTGCGGTCCCCGCCAGGCTGGGGGCCGGAGGAGGAGGAACGAGAAGCCGACCGTTGCCCTAAGCATCTCCCCGGGGCGCTTCTTCTCCAAACAGCACTGGTGGAAGCAGGGCTCTCACTAAGGGACCTGGCTGAACCCCACCTGGCTACTGGGGCGGCTGCTGGGCCGGGCAGAGTGATTGCAGGGGCAGTGTGGAGGGGACGGGGCGAGGCTGCTCCCTACCTCGTACTCCTTCCGCTGTTCCAGGGCCTTATGAATCCATTTCAGCCTCTTTTTATCGGAGAGTTGAGACCACTGCTTGCCCAGCGACTCTTTCACCTCCTTCGTGGTGGCCTGAAAACCCAAAGCCAGAGGTGAGGGCAGAGGGGTAAAATCCAAAAAAAGGAGGGGAAAAAAAAATATAGCAGGGCGTACCCTGAGCCCTGGCAGGAGCCAGGGGGGCCACGAGCCGAGCTCACGGCTGGGGAATGGAGTGCGTGCGAGTGCGGGGCATGGCCAGAGGTGGATGTCTGTGCTGGGAATCCCTGCCTCCCTGACTCGTGTGAAAGGCCGTGGTCACCCCTACAGCCAAAAACGGGGGGGTCTGTACCCCCTGAGCCTCTCCTAGGTGTGCAGAGCCCTCCTTACCTCTGTCCAGGCTGCCGGGAGCTCCTTCCTGCAACCCGTCCTCCCTACAGCGCTTCTCTCGTTCCCCCTCCTCTCCCCCAGCAGCGGGGTGCAGCACCCCCAGCGCTCACACTCACGCTCACCCCCCCCCCGCCGTACTCACATCTGGACGCACTTTCAGGTAGATCTTCTTCTCGTGGTTGTACCACAGCTGCTGGGGGGTCTTGGGTTTTTCGGGGACGTCGGATTTCTTGGCGTTCTGGATGAGGTCCGGGTGATCTTCCCTTTACCCGGCAGGGAGG